CGGTCCCAATTGGACCACAGTCGACCACAAGTGGGTCGCAAGGTGCGTTTTTCCCTGTCCGGTTTAGATGCGTCCTTATCGACTGGACTATCGATACAAAGTCGCAGGAGATTTGCCCCGCCGGACGCGCCAGGAGGTCAGCCTCTCGCGCGGGGCGTCCTCGTCCTCGAGCAGACCTCAATGGACGCCGCGACCACCGATAACCCTGTACGCGATATTCCATTCCAGCTGACCTCAACATTCTATCTCTTTGGTCTAAATACGCTAAGTAGGCTCTCGCGTGCGGAGAGACGTCCTCGAGTAGTTGACCCGACCTCGTCGGCTGGTGAGGTCGAGCGTTCCCCTCGGGATTTCTTCACTAAAGCGCCTTATCGTTCCCCAGGATTCGGAAGACCAAAAGATCTCAAAAATAGGACTAATCATAGAAATCCTCCCCTGTGAGAGAACATCCTGGAGCACCCTGGAGGCCTCGTGACAATGGAGTACGATGGACTGGTTCTCCAAATCCATGCCAGACCTCGAATCTCGAGGTTACCTCCTCGGGGGGACCTCCGAAGGAGGGGGGACAAACGGCCCGCCTTGGTATCATCGACATTCCAGACTTTCCTCGCCGGTGGAGGCGCCACGCATTCCGGCGGCCACGTCAGAGAGGCTATATTTGCGTTGGGCAAGGTCAGGCCGACCTCGGGGACCAAGTCCCCCCTCGGGGGCGATAAACGGGAGTCTGAGAATCGGCCCGACCGGGCAAAGTCGACCTCGGAGAGATGGCGACCTGTCGGACTGACCTCGGCCAACGTGGGCCACGCTCGCGACCTAGGTCAGCCCGGTCCCGGAGGCCTCGCGTGCTGCAGGAGTCGAAAATCCCTGTGGACGGTCTCCGGACCGGTCTAGAAGGAGAGCCAGAAGCCTTGGAACGGATCGCGGGAAATTGTCCCGGGGGAAATAAAAATCCCTGGGAGGCTCCTGGTCCTCTTGCGGAATGGGGGACGAGGTCATCCCCCGGGACAATGGTATAATTCCCTGGGATTAATCCAAGGGGGGCGGGACGAGTTTATCTGGAGCGGGACACCTTGCACTTGGCCCGCCAGCTGGAGATAAATGAAGCCCTCTCGGCGCGGAGTGCGAAAAGAAGACGCGACCGAGAAGAAGAGCAAAAGGCAGAAGTCCTTGGGGAAGAGCGAGCGGAGACAACGAGTCCGAATGGCTGGAATAAAGTTGGCCTTCGCCTTTATCGTATTTCCGTTCGACTCGGTGGGACGAAAGTCCCGTCTAGTCTGGCCGCGTCGAGTGACGTCTAGTGACGAGTAAAGGCATGACAAAGACCGAGAGTCTGGTAAATTTGCATACCTTGGTCTTGGTCTCGCAATGAGGATCAGGTCTTGGTCCTACCATGGTTGTCGGTGCCCTCGAAGAGGTCGATCCGTCGACTCGCCAAACAATGGCGGAGAAGGGGTCCACATCTTGGAGACGTCAAGAGACCTAATCGTCAGCTCTTCACCCTCGTCGAGAGCCTGGGGGAGATCTGCCGAGGGAACTTCGTTGCCGATAACCTTTTCTCCGGCCCCTCCGGCATCGATGGTTTAACGAGGGTCAATGGAGGATGTCTAGAATCGGATTGGCCGCGACGAGCCTCGCAGAAGGTGGCCGGAGATGCATGGCAGCGTCCTTCGAAGACATCCTCGAGATGCAGCCCTTTGACGGAACCCTCGAAAAACAGCTACGCCTTTCCCGGAGAGGACGCTTCCTCTTCCTCCAGCGGAAATACCTCGAGGGTAAATAAATTAGGTTGGATTTCAGCAGCCCCGAGGGCGGCATGGGCCTCCATTTTTCTTCCGAACGTTCAAGGCCAAGCCGCAGTGATAAGGGTAGATTTTCCCATTATCGCCGAAGGGTCGCACCCGGAAGCGGAAAGCGAAACCTCCAAGGTCCCCTCGCAAAATGGATCCCCCTCCCCGGATCCAGGGTGAGGTCGGAGAATGATCGATAAGGGTGCCGATAGGGTCCAGATTCCGGAGAAAGGGTGCCAGAAAGAGACTAGGCGAGGAGGTGGAAGGGTACCTCTCCGGAGGGAAGGGCAGGGTATTCGGAGGGTTCGCCCTCCCACGCACGTTGGCGAAAAGGGGAGCCCGAAGGCCGTTTCGCTCGTAAATCCTGCGGGACAGGAGAATCAGGGGATTGGGGTAGGGACACCCCCAACCTTCGGTCGCGCTAGTTTGGCGGAGGTCACAACCTTGCCACGTGGAGGCCTCGGCTGGACCCGCGGGAAGGGCTGCGGGGGCTTCAGGGATACGTTAACCCTAGGGATAAAAAACGGGAAGGGGGAATATATCGATCTCGGCTTCCTTTCCAGGAAGAACCTGGCCGATGTGCGCAGTGGGCTAACCCTCGCAGTGGAAACTTCCCTGGACCCCTCCTGGACTCCGGGATCCTGGACCGAGGTCGACTGTTCACCTCGAGCAAAAACGGACAAAAACCCAGAGACAAGCATTCGGGCAGAGGGAGATAAGCGGGAAAATAAACACCGACGAAGGCATTTACTCCGATTAGGTCCTAAGGCCTAGTGGAGGGCCTAGCGCCCTGAGCGGTCTAGGCTGACGAAGTATGGCGTTTGTAATTCTCCTCTGACGGGACCCGTGGGAGAAACGGTGTCCTTACAGCCAGCCAGGACCTCCGACGACCCGCGGATCCCGCTCGGTAGCGACGCCTTTATTTATGCTAATAGCCGGCCTTCGGCAAGATCATATTTTCGCCGGCAACGAGTTCCGTTTATGGGCCATTGTTCCCAGGTGGTTCTTTGTCGCGATCCATTTCTTTCTCGCTCTGCTTCCGTCCGTCTGGGATCTCCCTTTGCCGCGAGGATAAGCCCTAATCGAAAACTCTGAAAAGTGGGGATGTACCATCCCCAGGCGCGATAACAGTTTCCGTATCCCTCAACAATGCCCCGGCATCCTTTGACCCATTCTGGGTGGCCATCAAAGGTGCCCCGCCAGGGCCTCATCATTCCTTTTTTTCCATTTCGGCGATAAACGCGAGCTGGTTCTCTGGGTCCCAGAAAGAATCCCGCCGGTGGATTTGCGGAATCGGCGATGATGCCCGGGACACTCTTCGAGGACGATTCTGGGTCCTGGCCAAAGTCGAGGGCCCGCTAGTGGCCCACGCGCGATCTCCCCCATGGACCCATGGTCCCCGTAACGAGGCTGGTCAGACAACAAAGAACCACATCCTCACCTCCACCACCCACACCTCGTGGATTACAGCTTGGATCTTCGCCCGTCCTCCCGAAGGATCCACTGATCAGGCCCAGAAAATTTAGGAGACCTCAATTGGATCGAAGTATCAAGGAAGTCCGAGGGAAACGGGCCCAATGGAAGTTGGCGAGCAGCTGGACCCATTCGATGGTCAAGCGCAGATGGGCCGGATGGAAGGCCAGATCGAGGTCGCTCCTTTGTGGGGCCAGGTCGCGGGTTCCATGGGGAATTGCCGTTTCGCCATAGGCGTCCGGTGGCACTATCTAAACGTCTCCCAGCGACCGGGGCCCAACCATTGACAGTGGGCCCGGTCGAGGAGGGTGGACGCGTCTGCGACCTCGGTCGGGCCTTGAACGGGCCTTTGGTCGGCGGCATTATGTGGAGGAGATAAAAAGAGAGGAACGCCGGTCCGGGGGGTGGGACAGAGAGAAGCGAAATGGGGGTCGGGCCCGAGAAAGAGGGGGGGAGGGGGAGAAAAAGACGAGGAGAGGAAAAAACGAGAGAGAGAGAAAAGCGGCCGGAGAGGCGAGGGCGTCCTCCCGGAGGCTGAGACGCGGTCCAGTCTCTCGGAATGTAAAGCCAGGGACACACGAGATGAAGCACACTTTCGCAGAGTCAAGGGTAGCGGAGCCCACACACACCCACACGTCGGTGGGCGCCCATAGCGTCGATGGCCGGGGGTATGCGTGTGTGTGGGACTCCCTTCGCCGCACCGACGCGCGGGAAACGAGTTCGAGGGGGAATCCTTGGTCCTGCGGGATATCGAAAGGACTCCCAAGGTTGGGACAAGGTAGGAGAACCTCGAGGGGAGCGCCCGAGAGGAGTGTGGAGACCTTGAAAGGGAGCGAGGTGGAATGACCCTCCCGACGCTCCCCCGTGTGGGGTCAACGAGGACTGAGGAAGGGACTCGAGAGGGGCCCTAATTTCCAGGACGCCCTCCGAAGGACCTCGGGGGTGAAACGCCGCCTGAGTGGATTAAATTGATTCGGCCAATCCTCTCCGATAGGGCGAACCAGCCCTCGGCCGAACCTCGCGACGTAAAAGCCCTAAGAGGAGGAGAGTAGTCCGAGTCCGCCGCCATCTTGGAATCCCGAAAATAGAATCTAAAACCTATCCCAGGGTGAATACCGGCGACGGCATTTAAAATCGTTAACGCGATACTTTCGCCGCACTTCGGAGGTAGACCCTGGTCCGAGAACAAAGGAGAGGGCACCGAGGGTAACCTCCAGGTTGCGTTTCAATGCCCGCCATTAAGCGCAATAAGATGTACCCGCGCAAGGATGTGCGCGTTTCTCGACTGCGGCCGAGGGCACGCGGCACGTCCGCTACTCTCATGAATGAAAACGCACGGGCGAAGGCCGTTTCCACGAGAGTTATAAACGCCCGTCTCCTTTGTCGTGGGCAACCTCCGGTCGTTAAGAGGTTCGCCTCGGGTTCCTGCATCGCCAGGACGCCTTCCTCGTAAAATCGCATCCTTGGCCCCGAGTCGATAATCCGAGTCGATTAATCGCGGGGGGTGTCTTCGAACCTCTCTCCGCGGAAACACAACGGCCGAACCGTCCGAATCTAAACCCAGAGTAAAAGAGAAATATTCCTTTCCATGTCGACGTCGACATAGGAGCTCCCCATGGCGGCCATCTTGGAATCCGCGAATCCTTCCTCGGCGTCACCGTCGAAGACCCAAAATCCTGGCAGACCTGCAATCACGGTGGGTACTTCTGGCAAGACCAAACAACTAAGTACACTTCCATG